CAGACAGACAGACAGACAGACAGACAGACAGAGGCAGAGAGAAAGAGAGAAGGAAAAATTTAAAACAAGAAACACACCTATGAGGTTACTGAGCACATAGAGATTATTCCCACTCAGTTCCTGGAAGCGGTCCCAGTGATGGTAGCCACGGGGAATGGGGTGTGTCCGCAGCCACTGACCACAGGCAAACTTGTAGAAGTTGGAGCATGGGTCCACTGACCAGTCCACCCCCGAGAGGACAGAGCCAGAGGCTTGGACACACGCCGGGGACTTGCAGTACTTGGTCACTGGGAGGTAGAGGGACACAGTACAGGTATATTATTATACATACAATCTGTCGGCTTATATACTTGGTCACTGTGAAGTAGAGGGACACAGTGCAGGTATATTATATACGATCTGTCGGCTTACATACTAGGTCAGTGGGAAGTAGATGGACGCAGTACTGGTATATATCAAGGAGGAAGGGGATTGATGAAATCTTGTTAACTAGGCCCACTGTAGGCAACTTGCGTGGTAAAGAGAGACAAGTACAGGAAATAAAAGCTAACACCTTGTAATGATTAGAAACGCCATAGCTGGCTGTAGATCATAGTAGCACCTCTCCGTTTCTTAAAGGGGTTACTCATCTGCCTACTTACTTACTTACTTATCCCTTCTTAATCTTATCTTAGATGACCGTTGGGGCACCACGGATGACCAGACAACCACTTTTCTCCATCCTTCCTTATTTTCAGTCTTCCGAGGGGCTTCACCCAACTTTAAGCCTGTACATTCCCTTATGTTGTCTTCCCATCTCTTTTTCTGTCTGACTCCCCCCCCCCTCCCCTGTACAGCACCCCGTAAGATCATCTTTACAAGTCCTGTTGATCTTGCTATGTGCCCAGTTACGTGTCTAATTACGTGCAGTAATAACTTATGAATGTGGAAGCGACTAAAGCAGTTTCGAGGACACTTGAATCAACATAGGGGTTTTGAACACCTTGCTCTCATTGAAGAGATAGAAAGCAAACGAGGCAGGGGTAGACCCAGAGAAACTTATTAAATTAGGAAAACCTGAACAGAGGGGTGACGGGGAAACACCAGGATAATATCATTTTCGTTTAAAGAGCATCCGAGGGGAGAAATAAATGAGGAACTAAGTCCGCCGAAGTCTGTTTCAGACCAGACAATTTAGGATGACGAAGAACTTACGAGAAACGTCCAGTCTTCGAATGAGTCGTTCTCACTGAGGCTCCAGCCTCCACTCTCGTCTATGATCTTAGCAAACTGCTTCAGAATCTTCTGCCGGGCATCAGCCGGCGTCTGCATACAGCTCTTGAAGAAAGTCCTGGTCTTGTTTGCAGCAGACCCATTCTGTGTGTTGGAGTCTGAGAAAGGAAGGAAATTAATTTTGTTCCACGCGGGGGAAATCTATCTGGGACATTATGTAAGTTATATTATAGTAAAGACAGGACACAGAGCAACCAAACCAAGTTTCAGAACGAACTCTGGTTTACGCAAATCTTTATAGAAAAATGAGACTCGTAATAATGGACATGAAATGATAACGGCTGAGCATGGTCAATTAAATATGAGAACGGGGAGGTAAATTTCAGTGGTGAAAGTACATGGCAAGTGAAGCACATTGTCCTACCATTTCGTATAAACATAGCAAAAAAATAAAAGAAAGAGAGAGAGAGAGAGAGAGAGAGAGAGAGAGAGAGAGAGAGAGAGAGAGA